TGCTTGAGCCCCTTCCATCCATGTTGGTGACCCTGATGAAGTTCTTGGTTCTTGGCTATTATTCTTCTGATAACAGCTTATTCATAGCCTATCCAAGGAAGCAGCAGAGGATGGCTCAATTAGTTTGGCCCCTGAAAACCATGTGAAAGACTGAAGTTCCAGGCTCCTGGCTTTATTCTGGCCCAGCTTTTGCTGTTGTGGCTGTTCAGGGAATGAAAAACGGATAGATGTTCTTTCTCTCTCTCAATTCCAAATAAAATGAAAAATAAGTATTTAAAAATATAATAAGTAAAGCAAATTGAACCAAGACCTAGAAATAAACCAACATATTGGTAATTAATTTTCAACAATGGTGCTAGGATTATTCATTGGGAAAGCATATTTCCCCCCCCCCCCACCCCTCACCAGCTCATGATGCTGGGAAAACTATATAGCCACATGGAAAGAAGTGTAATTTGGCCCTATCTCATATAGCATATAGCAATATTGACTCAAAGTGTATCAGACTTAAACATAAGGGTTAAAAACATAAAACTTTTAAAAGAAAAACAGGAGTAATTGTGGATGAGCTTGAGTTTGGCAATAGATTCTCAGATATAGTATTAACTCCTATACGTTTTTAATGTGAAGGTAAAATTGTTCAACCATTTTGGAAAAAGTTGACTCTTCTTCAAAGAAGTTAAGTGCTAAGTTAGTATATAAATACCTAAAATAATTGAAAACATGTCCACAGGAACATTTTTATATGATTTTTCATAGAAGTTGTTCATTCATACTGACCAAAAGGTCAACACAATACAAGGGCTCTTTGAATGAAGAATTTGTGGATAATGTGGTATATCCATGTAGTGAAAAATTATTTACTAATAAAAATAATGAAATACTGATATATGCTACAGCATGGGTAAACCTTGAAAATACTATGTTAAGTAAACAAAAAAGAAGAGATACAAGAATATTGTATGATACAAAATTACCTGAAATATCGACAATAGGTAAATCAGGAAGGACAGAATGCAAATTAATGTTTTCTGGAGATTAGGGGAATAAGGAAATTCAAGTTTCATCAATTGGTGTGAAGCTTCCTTATGTGTTAATTGAAATCTTCTGAGACTGGATAATAGTAAGAGTAAAACAACCACATGAACTACTGAACTCTATGCCTTAAAATGTGGAATTTGGAGCAGGTGTTTTCACCACAGTTGATGAGCCCTAGTTCAGCTCCCAGTTCCAGCTTCCTACTGATGCACACCCCGGAGGGCAGCAGGTGGTGCTCCAAGTAGTTGGATCTACGTTACTCATGTGGGAGATCTGGATTGAGTTCAAGCTCTTGACTTTTATGTTGGCTTTAACTTGAATGCTGCAGACATTTGGGGGGTGAACCAGTGGGTAACAGATGTCTGTCTCTCTTTAACATAAGTCAAATGTGAAAAAAATGTTGATTTTTTGTTTATTATGTGAATTATATTCCTGTACAAAAAAGAAAATGTCAGTAAAATGTTCATAAAATTTCTCTAGGGAGAGGGAACACCATGCCGTCTCAAATAAGAAAAGAAATATTAGAAGATAAGGTAGACTAGGCAGGCTAGACACAGACTAAAAGTTTGGTGTTTCCTGTTACTGGGGGAAAATCCATGGGAAATAATAAAAAGGTTTTCGATGAATAAAAACTGTTTTAGAAAAAAATAGTTCTGACTTAACTCTTTAACAAATATTATTCACTTGATGCCTCCTATGCACTAAGGATATACCTGAACGCTAATACCCATGAAGTAAGCAGGATTATGCACTCTAGGATTTTATAATCTAGTGACATAAAATAGGTACTAAGTAGTGCTGGGTAAGTTCGTGATTTGTTGGTAAATGGGAGACGTTTAAAAGACTGTTGAAATTGGGGATGTCATTTAAAATACTGTTGAAACTGGGGCCCCGTGCTGTGCCCTAGTGGCTAACATCCTTGCCTTGAGTGTACCAGGATCATATATGGGGGCCGGTTCTAATTCTGGCAGCCCTGCTTCCCATCCAGCTCCCTGCTTGTGGCCTGGGAGAGCAGTTGAGGACGGCCCAAAGCCTTGGGACCCTGCACCCATGTGGGAGACCCCATAGAGCTCCTGGCTCCTGGCTCCTGGTTTGGGATTGGCTCAGCTCCTGCCTTTGCAGCCGCTTGGGGAGTGAATCATCAGACGGAAGATCTTCCTCGCTGTCTCTCTTCTTCTCTGTGTATCTGACTTTGCAATTAAAATAAATAAAAATCTTTAGAAAAAAAGGCTGCTGAAATTGTTCAGGAAAAAACATGATTCAACCATGAAGATATGTGAAGAGAATGAATCAGCTTAATAATAGATGTGATTCGGTAGTTGAATTCACAGTCGATGAGTTTAATTATTAGTTGTCTATGAAAAGTAAAGGGTAGGGAAGAATCAAAAGGTAAGTTGTCTTCTAACATGTTTGAAGAACAGGTTTGGTAAGTTCAATTTTAGATAAACTGATATCAGAAATGATGCCATCCAGGAGGTAATTAGGCATTGGGATCTATCATTCAGGTGAGAAGCTAGGAATAAAATCATGATTTAATATGTATTAGCCTAGAAATGATAATGGAAGTCAGGGGATTAAATAAATCTTCTAAAATGATAGAGATACATGAAGAGGCAAATATGACCTAAATTTCTGAGAACACTTGTTACTAAGGAGTTAATGAAAGAGTATCCAGCAAAGCAGCCCAAGCAGGAACAATGAGGTCATAAGAAAACTAAGAGAATGTGATATCATTGATAGAAATAGTTAAAAGAATTTTGAGGAGGGAAGAATGGGCAATGGGATCAGCTGCTACAGAGATGTTGAAAAGGCTGAATATGAATGCAAGTTTTTGAGTTTTAGTGATTTGCAAGTCAGTGATGAAGCTGAGAAAGTTATGGTGTGGAGAACTGAGAAGTACAACTGGGGGAATTTCCCTCCTTAAGAAGACTGGCAGTAACTGTAGTAGAGTTGGAATGTCAAGTGAAGAGATACTAAAATAAAATAAATGTTATTTATATAGATACATTCATATTTTATATATGCATATTCAACTTAGCTGGAGGTATAATGGGTAGTGTTGGAGCAGTTGAAATCAAGTAATGGGGGAGGGATTGATGTGGAGAGGAGCAAATATCTTTTTGCCAAGAGGAAATAAAAGGATGGGTAGGGAAATAATAAAGGAGAGGGAAGAGTAGTTTATTGAATTCATAGAGGAGAGTAGTTGATAGAATGCTTATCTGAAAAGATCTTGTAGAAGCTGGGCTAGAGGCCTGGAATCATGTGGAAATGTTCTGAATATTTCTTATACGGTGTAAGACAAACCTGGGTAAACAGAATGACAGAATAGGGGTGAGCAGGCAGTGGATGTTGCAGAACATGTAATCAAAGAGGGAACAATGTATAACCATCCCTTGGCTTTGAGATGGTCCCAAACTGAAGAAGAGAACAGAGTAAGCTGCTTGAAAGTTTGAGAACTAGAGTCATGTGACCACTCCCGGATGGAGAAAAATGCAGATTATAAAAAGCAAAAAGAGAGCTGCTTGATTCAGAGAGCAGGGATGTGTGGAAAGCTGAAGGCAACTTACTTGAGCCTCTGTTTTCTTATCTATCAGTAGGAGGTAATGGAGGACACTGCCTAATAATAATAATAATATATAATAATGATAATGACTTAGCACTTATACCTCCTGTGATTTTTATTGTAATATTCATGTTGGCTATGAGCAAACTTCTGCCCGGTTGGTCTAGGAACTAACTCACAGAAAGCAAGAGTGTTCACATTGGTCTCTTTATGAAAGACATACTCTTAGACTTTCTGGTTATGCCTTACCCTCTATCATCACAATGTTAACTCTTACAGAACTGGGGCATTATCCAAGTAATTCTCTCAGAGACAGCCCTTACTACTGTAAAAACGAACAGATGAGAATCTAGAGCATACACATCCTCACTACTACTAAACTTTGTGAAACACATCCATCCAGGAAACCCAAGGAATCTCAAGCCAACATCTATTTCCTAATTCAAATCGTGGCAAGCACTATTTATTTATTTAAATTTAATTTTACTCTCTTTTATACAGAGCTGCCCCGTAGAGTGCTCCTTAAAGTGCTGTTAGTTCCCAACATATTTGGGGCAGTGATAGCCATGTCCTTCTCCTCCAAGGATATCTGTTGTAAAGCAAACAAACAAAGACACACACACACAAACTCATCTGGCCATATCTGTTGCAAGATTTCAATTTACCGCAGCCTGTAGCCTAAGTGTATAGTTTACAGAGCTCCTATTTGAATACTGTAAGAAATAGATTGTAGTTAACCAGAGCCCCTATTCAACCAGAACTTGAATTTGACTTTATGAAGAAAGGGGAAGGGAATCCAAGAACATTTGCAGATATCTGGGATTTATTTCACAAAGCAAAACCCAATTTAATTGAACGAAACAACCCCAAATCCCCACATAAACCAAGCTAAGAAAAAATAACAAATGTAAAATATTAGCTTCTAAAAGATTTCCAGAATCTGATACAGATTCAGTCCTGAGAAACTAGCAGAGGAAGAGGAAAGAACATATATTCTGAGTGCAAATTCAGATTTGCACTTTCTTTCAGTGAGCCTACATGAGTAAATTCTGTTTTTGGACTCTCAGTTTTTTTTCTTCTGTAAAATGACATTGACCACAGGTGTACAGTGGGACAGGTGTGGAGATTCAACGAGAAAGTGTGTGTGGAGTCCATACACTTTGTATCTGGCAATTCCGAGATATATGTATTGTCACTTGTCAATTTTCCATCTTTATTTGAGAGGTATTATCTTTAGCGCTTCCATTCACAGTTCTGAATTTTTTTCTTTGTAATGTTATAACCATTGCCTACCAAAGATCCCACTTTCAGCATTTCTCTGCTGTATGTTCACTACTCCAAGATATTTCTGATCCAAGGTAGTCTGTTAAGATACTCACCAGAGGAGAGAGCTACTTACCTTTGACCACAAACTTCACAGTGTTGCTGCGTTGCTCAGAGCCAACACGACCTTTGGCAATACAGAAATAGGAGCCGGAGTCAGCCAGCACTGCAGGCTTGAAGAATAAGGTACTCAAGACTGCTACTTTGATGGGTTCCTGGTTATTTGCCTGTTCTTTGTACCAAACGTAACTGATGGGGGGTGAACCCTGAGCATGGCATTGAAGGCTAATCCTCATTCCCTGGGGCACGGTGAAGCCATAGCTGCTGCCACTTGTCACTGTGGGCTTGGAGACAGGCACTGCAAAGGGAAGACAAGAGATGGGGTTATGAGAAGTCATAAGCCTTTAGTGATACTAGGTCAAGTCATTCCTATTGGGCATAAGGGTATGCACAGATCTACAAGTGGAACTAAAGCTCGGGGATGGTTCCTGACTTAGGAGGGAAGAAAGGAAAGGTAAGGTGAATAAAAATAGCTTTGTTCATTTGAGAATTAGACACCTTTTACATTAGAAGGAAGTGGAGTTGTCTGGTGTTAAAGATCAACTGACATAAAAATAATACCAGGGCTCGCATGTGGCACAGCCAGTAAAGCTGCTATGCATGGTGCCAGCATGCCATATTTGTGCCGGTTTTTGTTGCAGTCACACCATTTCCAATCCAGCTCCCTTCTAATGGCCTGGGAAAAGCAGCAGAGTGTGGCCCCAGTGTTTGGGCCCCTCCTTCCCATGTGGGAATCCTGCGTGTGGCATCCGGCATCAGCCTGGCATTGCGCTCATCTAGGGGAATGAGCCAGAAGGTGGAGGATTTGTCTTTATCTCTAAGTTTTAAATAAAATTTAATAAATAATAAATATTTTAAAACAATGCATTTTAAAGAGATTTATTTATTTTTATTGGAAAGTCAGATATACAGAGAGGAGGAGAGACAGAGAGGAAGATCTGTCTGATGATTCACTCCCCAAATGCTTGCAATGACCAGAGCTGAGCCGATCTGAAGCCAGGAGCCTCGTCTGGGTCTCCAACATGAGTGCAAGATCCCAAGGCTTTGGGCTGTCCTAGACTGCTTTCCCAGGTCACACACAGGGAGCTGGATGGGAAGTGGGCTGCTGGAATTAGAATCGGCACCGATATGGGTGTGGGCAAGGCGAGGACTTTCGCCACTAGGCTTCGGCGCCAGGCTCCCAAAACAATGCATTTTTAAACATTCAACTAGCTTTCAGATTATGTACCAATTTGGTGTATCAGGAATAGATCCTAACAAAATTGCAAGTCAGTGAATCTTATCCTTCCAGTTAATGTCAAGTATCTGTCCGTCCTTCAATACCTTCATTAGATACATTCATTTTTATAAGTTTTAAGATTCAGAGTTTATGGAGGTCAGTGAGGGTATGTTAGCTAGAATTTCAGGGGCACTTCAAATGGTTGAAATCTGCAGCTCTTGAAGCCTTCGCAACACTTCCTAAAATCTTCCACAGAGTGATGTTCCTAGGGTACTCCGCTGGTTTGCTTCTGATTAGCGCACACAATGAAGAAAGCCTATGCACAGATAAAAAAAAAAAGGTGTCTGGGTAGCTAAGCTATTTCTAAGATTACAGTCCTCCGAGGGTTCCTTTGCCCCTCAATGCTTTACTGCCCCCACAGTGACTCACATTTCTGGACGCGGAGCTCAATCATCTTATCTCTAACCACTTGCTTGCCATCAGGGCTCTGCCAGGTGACTTCACATATATAGTGACTCCGGTCATCCATCTCCAGCACATTCAGTTGGAGGGACACATTCCCTGGAATCTCTTGATTCAAGTGTAGGCGGCCTCGGTACTTTGCCTGTTGGATATGGTCTCCAGAGGAGTCACGCAAGAAGATGGTGACTGGGTCTGAGTCACGTTGTACTAGCCACTTCACCAAGACTTGGGTGTAGCCTGGCAGGAGACCATAGGTGCAGGGAATAGTCACGTCTCCCTTCCAGGGCCCTGTCACACTATCTGGTGCTTCCAGGATAGGATGACCTAAAGGAAAACATAGAAAGGAAGCAAAAAATTGATGCCATTTGGTGGCAAGTGATAGCATAGGAGCTTCAGGGGTAGTGGCAGCCCCCAGGACATTTCTAAGAAACAATCCCTGAACGTTCCTTCCATCAGACCTTTGCGTTTCCTGTACTCTTGTTCTCTATCATCCTTCTATTAATAAGAATTGGTCCTCCAGGTGAGGGGCTCTGCCAAGCTGAGTCAGAGCAACCACTGGCATGCGCATGATCTATGGCTGGGAACAGGCCCGGTTGGGGAGCTAAGGGGACACCCTAGCTGGGTGGAGGTTCCCACCAAGGGGCGTGTGGTCTGGAATGGGGGCTGCGTTCTGATCAGGAAACAGTTGTAGTCTCCCTTGGCACAAGTGTGGACTGGGACTGGAGGCACCAGGCCGGGCCAGACTGCAACACTATCTGGTGTCCTGGAGGACCAGCGTAGATGTGGGACGGACTAGGCTAGATCTCAATCCCTACCGAGCCATGTGTGAGCTGTGTGTGGGTATGGACGAGCTGTGGCTAGGCTGAAACATCCAACAGCAAGAACCAGCTTGGGTTGAAGGCCGGCCAGTCAGGAGAAGCCACTGTTCCTGCTAGGACAGGAGGTGAACTGAGTAGGGCTGGCTCATGGACACCCTGGAATGTGCGAAACCTGGCATTTGGAGGGGTTCTGATGGAGGAGTCTGGGCAACTCCTCTGGCAGGACACAGACCCGGCAGGTAAGCGCAAGAAACATGATAGGAAACAGCCCAGAACAGGCCATGGCAAGCTTCCCACTAGCATACATTTGGCATGGGTCAGGGGCAGACCAGGCTGAATCAGTTCACGTCATCCACTGGCAAATCCAATCACCAGAACAGAGTGTGGGTTGGGCTGGGTTCAGTCGCAACAAAAGCAGTCCACAATACAGAATGCCAAGGTGAGGTTGCCTGTGTCAGATATGACCGCAGCACCTAACAGCACACGTGAGAACCAGGAAGGGAGGGGTAGAGCTGGCTGGGGAAATACAGGGTGGTTCCCTTGCTGGACAGCTACTCCAACTGGAGAGCATGAGCTGGGATGGGGGCAGACCAGACTAGGCAGGGCTACAACACCTGTGCACCTCATGTGGACTAGATCAGAGAAAAGCCAGGCTGGGCTGATTATTCCTATTGGTACAAACAAAATTAGAGTGGGTGAGGGTTGTTGGGGCTTAGCCACAGCATCAGCTGGCAGAAGCTGGCACTGAGGGTTAACTCTGTTAAGTTAAACCACAGAACCACCTGGAGAATGCATAATCCGGGAGTGGGAGAGGCCTGGGAGGGAAATAGCGGGCTTCTCCCTCTTGGGTTACCACCCCCATGGAAGGACACGAAAACTAGGACAGGGGCTGGGGTGCCTAGACAGAGAGGCACCCAACAACATCCATGATGGCTAGATAGTTGAGCTGATTAGATGGAACTAAGCTTCAATACCCATTGACATGTACGAGAGCCAAATGGGATGTGGGACAGACTGGACTAGTCTGCTACACATACTGGCAAACCAGGGCAGGGGGTGGGCCTGGTGGGGGTTATTGTGGATCGCTCTGACTAGGCTGCAGCTCCCAATGGTTTATGTGAGGGCCGACTATGTGCAGGGCAGAACCAGGCTGGACTGCAACACCCATTGGTTCCAGTGCAAGACAGGGATGGAAACAATACCGACCAAGCAATTGCAACAACCAGCGATGGGCGATGGGGTGATGGACTGCGCTGGGCCCTGTGCTTGCCAGTCCATACAAGAATCTGGTCTGGGTTCACCTCAGACAAAGTCTCTTTGGGGATCCCCGCAATTGAACTGCCAGACTCAGAACCCTAATCATGAAAAGACAGAGGACAGAACAAGTCAATCAACCACCTCATGTATATGTTGGCAGTGAAAAACTGGGCAAAAGGAGACTCTATGATGGACTATGTCAATCAGTGGATTCTTCAGTGACCTCATCGTGCTTGGATTGGCGAGATTGGCAGCAATTCAGAACTGTTGAAGTATCAAAACCACTTGAGCAAGAATCTCAGAGCATGCCCCACATCTGGGACCTGGGGCGGGTGGGAGATTGGGTGGGGCTTCTCCCTCAATATCCCCTTTTACCTCAGATATATGAAGGAAACAATATGGAACTAATTGTCTTAGCCCCCTCTGCAAAAGTCAATGAAATAAATTCTGGAATTATAAAAAAAAAAGAAAAAAGAATTGGTCCTCAGAGTATAATCATTAACATTCACTCTTCAAGTTTCTAGTCTCTCTCACAACACTGCATTGATATGAAATGAAGGAGGAAAAATCATCTTCTACCATGAAGGATCTTTTTATCCATTTTAAATGTGAATAATTTAGATTGAGTGATCACTAGGGATATTGCCAATTCTGAATATTCTGCAAGCTCATGAAAATATTTCATCTCACACTTTCCAAAAGAAGTGCAGGAACAAAAATGTTGATGTTGGGTTTGTTGGATTTGTTTTGTTTCTCTTGTGTAAATATATATCTTGTAAAATATGGGGACTTCGGGGCTCAGCAAGGAATGGTCCTCTATGCTTTTGTCTCCCCTTTGCTCCCACAGAAGGACTAAGTATGGAGGGTGGAGGCTCACAAAAACAGTTCTTAGCATGGGCATTATTTAACAGAATTACTAGTTATTCTTAAATTTGAAGCTTTGTGTAGTTGATTTTCCCCCTGATTTCCTCCTTTTTCTTCATTTCCTTTTTGATTTCTCTTAGTTCTCAGTGAGGATAAATTAGAAAAATTCATGCTGGGGTGTTGGGGGTGGGAAGATTTTTCTCTGCGCTTTGTCTGAAGAAAAAAAATATATATAGTTGGAAGAGTCTGAATAAAGTTTCAGAGCTAGGTACAGTGAAATGCTGGTAGGAGAAACAAGATATTGCTCATTGGTGTGCCTGAAAAGTAATCAAAATGGAAAAAAAAGGTAAAGTACATTGAAACCGCATCACCCTCTATAAGAATTTCTCACTTATAAGCTCATATTTAATTTTTTTGTTTATTTTATGAAATTGTGACCAAGTCTAAATTGCATTAGGCAGACATACAGGGAGGAGGAGAGACAGAGAGGAAGATCTTCCAACCCTTGATTCACTGCCCAAGCTGCCACAACAGCTGGAGCTGAGCCAATCCGAATCCAGGAGGCCGGGCCTTCTTCTGGGTCTTCCTTGCCTGTCCAGGGTCCCAAGGCTTTGGGCTGTCCTCGACTCTTTTCCCAGGCCACAGGCAGGGAGCTCTGGATGGGAAGCAGGGCTGCCGGGATCAGAACTGGTGTCCATATGGGATCCCAGCGCATTCAAGGCAAGGAGTTTAACTACAATGCTATCGCGCTGGGCCTCAAAAATAGATTTTTAAAAAAAGAATCTAAACAGTGTATTTTGGCTGAGATAATGATCTTCAGTAGCAAAGAATAAATACACATAAGTCCGTGCTGCTTGATCTATCACCTGATACTTGGAGAGTTTCAGACATGGCAGGAGACCTCAGACTTAGAAATGGGAAGACAAGAGAGGATTTTGATTTATCCTACACATGAACTTTATGACAAGTAAGAACTGTCTTTTGATGGACTAAGTTATTTCACAGTGTCCTAAAGTTTGTTTGGGTTTTGGACAATTTTCCTCTTTAAAGTCCCTTCCAATCCCATAGTAGAATGGAATGAAATCGGAGTTTAAGTACATATTTTATCTGGTAATGAACTTTCACCTGGTGCTGAATGCCACTGTGTTGTTGAAAGTTAGTATTTCCATGTGCATACATATCCAGCTTCTCATCCTCATGAGCTCAAATGCCCACAAATATTTTCGTAACATCCAAACATCCACAGACTCATGAAACCATCTGAGCCTCTGTTTAGTGGGCTCTTTCCCATTCATTTTCCTCTGACCCTCTGTAATCTCCCACCTCTCCACTGAAAAGCATTCTCACACGCCCCTCCTGGGCAACAAAGCAGCATTCTGTTGCGATGACATCTGGAACAGCTGAAAGTACTTTTGTCTATGCATGCACATGTCTTCCCTTTGACCTAAGGGAAGCTGAAAGGTCTGGCTTGAATTACTCTGTGGAAATCTGCTGAAGATTTTTTCACAGCTCATTTGGTCTGTCAAAGCATGACCAACCTGTCCAAATTTCAAAATTTTGAGTCACTTCTGAAAGTAGGTCATGACTGATTCTCCATTCCACATTTTGTGATTAGACTTTCTAGAATGGCATGTTCCTCCACTTCTGTTCATTTTTTTCTTTCCTTCTCTTGCCTTCCCTCTTTAATCCTTCAACCCATTCTCCTCTCATTAAAAAATTCTTCCTTCTCTTTGACCCAACACGGTAGCCTAGTAACTAAAATCCTCACCTTGTATGCCTGGGATCCCATATGGGTGCCGGTTCATATCCTGGCTGCTCCACTTCCCATCCAGCAACCTGCCTGTGACTTGGAAAAGCAGTGGAGGATGGCTCAAAGTCTTGGGACCCTGCACCTGTGTGGGAGATGCAGAAGTTTCTGGCTCCGGGCTTTGGATCAGCTCAGTTTTGGCCATTGCAGCTACTTGGGGAGTGAACCAGAGGACAGAAGAGTTTTCTCTGTCTATTCTTTACTCTGTAAATCTCATGTTCCAATAAATACATCTAAACAAAATCTTCATTTTCCATTGTAATACTAGAGGGGAATCAGTAGTGGGGGGAAGGACTTGGGGAGGAGGATGGGAAATTCCAGAGCCTATGGAACTGTATTATTAAATATTAATATTAATAATAAATTATTCCTTCTCTTTTTTCCCTTCTTTCTTCTTGCCTTTTTCTCTTCCTCATCCTAGTTCATCAATAGAAAGTGGACAGGGCATAAGAAAGAGAACATTGTACTATGCTTAATCTTTCTTGATTCTCAAGGTGACAGTCACAGTAACATTGATTTACACCTTCTACTTACTCCCACATTTCCTAGAGAGGCTAGAAAAACAACCCATGAAGGAGTTCATGAACTAGCTAGAATAACACCACGTAGATTCAAGGTCTGCTTTATTGAATATCTTTATGTGACCTGTATTTGAGGTCATCATCAATAAAATGGAAGCAATTATTAAGCATCATGGAGGACTATCATGCAGATAAATGAGTTCATAAGAGTGAGAGCACATAACATAGCTGGTATTCAGTAGGTGATTGGTAAGCATCAATCTTATTCTATACCCTAAGTAAAACTTCTGAGTTATGTCTTGATCATTCCTATCCTTTAGAAGTCCTCAATATATCTTCTCCTGTGTAATCAGATTTATTTAATGATCATTGTCAGCTTCTATATCTGAAGACGTTATCACATGACAAGGTAAGGAGCCTCCTTCCCTATCCAGATAGACTAATGAGTAATGAGTTGGTTTCTAAGCCATTAGGGCTGTAGGGCAGCCAGAGAGAACACAGCAGCCTGTGCGTATAAAACAAGACCAGCTTGTCTTCCAGTGTGCAATGCTGACAACACTAAACAATAATGCTAACTTTTCTGGATGGCTGAGTAGGAAAATTTCATTTTAGGAAAGCCCTACCTTTTCGGGGAATGCTCTGCCCACTAGGGATATCTGAAAATCACAAAATGCAAAACCACCTGGTACAACAATCATTGAGATATCAGTCAGGATGGGATTTGGAGACTTCCATCAAGTCATTTTTGAAGGTGTTTTAGAAACCACTTGGTCACATTCACTTATGGCACATATAGGCAAGCTGAGAAAAATTGAAAAACACTTAACCAAAGTCAAATATAGGAACGGCAGAATTCATCCTGAATACCCAGACTACAGGATTCCAGACTCTACACTGAATTATTACTTCCTTAACTTATTAAAACACAAATCATAGTTGAAATCAGCAGCCCCTTATCTGGGCCTACTTTACATGGTTTCATGAATGTCATACTCAGGCTAGAAAAATACCTTCTTGACCATCTGAAAAAGAATGGTCCCATCTGCCAGCTGCTGTTTTAAAACCCTTTCACAAAAATCTCACAGGTTTGCTTTTTCTCCACTATGGAAATACTGGATTTCCTTCAAGAACTTGTTTCCCCTAGGGGAAGACCAGAGATTGACATTCAGTCAAGGGACTTGAAGAAGAGTTTCGTTGGTGAAAGAGGGAACAATGCTAGGGCCCATTGGGATCTTAGGACCTGAAGTCAGAAAGGCAAAATCCTGCCATGTCCTGCATACTTCTGATTTCCATCCCATGCCTGCTTCTTTTCCTTCCATTGATTGACTCAGGAATGGGGGATTGGCTTAAACAATATATGCTTATTAAATATTTATAGAATTTGAATGCATGAATGTATGATTATTTCAAAATTTGTTCTGTCTCCACAAGAATAAATTAACAGCTCATTCTGGCCCCTATGAGTTTTTTTTTTTTTCATAATGAAGTCAATTTTATAGATCTGTCTAGCTGGCAGGACCCTTTGAAACTAGTCAAGTTAATTCCCCTACTATGTAGATGGGCTAGGGACACTGAGAAGCAGGATGAGGAAAGGCATTATTGACCATTCAGTATATTCTAAACATCAGCTCTACAGTATAGGATCCTATCCACAGATGGAAGTCTTGCTTCCAGGGCTGGAGGATTTTACAAGCTGTGGAAGGAACAAGACAGATGTGAGTGTTCATATGTTTCTCTCTCTCTCTCTCTCTCTCTCTCTCACACACACACACACACACACACACACACACACAGATTTAAAATTAGTATTTATAAAACGGTGACTAAAGCCCAATTTCACCTCTGTAAGTCGCAGTTCAAACCAAAAAAGTTGGAGAACATAGAGAGATACACTCCATCGTAGCTGGGAAAAGCATGTCATTCTTCAGCAGTTAATTGCTCTGTGGTCTGAGTAAAAAATTTCCCCTCTCAGTTGACTTAATGCAGAGTATCTTGTAGCTTTTGGGTTCTAGCATTTGATGGTCACAGAGATCAAGGTTAGGGAATCCTAATCTGAGTCAGCTATGGAAGCCAGGTTATTTCTAACCTCACAAGCGACTTCAAATTAACACCCATCCAGCGTTTCCCAGGGAGATGGAAGAAGCAGTGTTGCACTGAGAGGCTTTTTATCCTATCTTGAGTTACACTTAACTATTACCCAGGCTCAGTTTCCTGAAAAAGCAATTCACTTCTCAGTGGTATAGATGGAGGTAATGGAAAACCCCAGGAAATGCTACAGTAGGATAGTCAAGTCTCCTGTGAGATTCATGTCTAACATTCATTTTCTACAAATAGGGCAGCTAAACTGGGAAATGTGCAGGGGGAGGTGAGTTAGTCCAGGAAAGAGTAAGAATATAAGTCTTATAAAGACAAGTTGCAGGTAGTGGGACTGTTCAGCTTTCAGGAGAGTAGAGCAAGGGCATTCTCAGACTTCTGAAGGGTTATCATAGGGCTTATGGAACAGATATATATTTTGTGCTCCCTCCTCAAATTAGAGCTATGTCTTTTGATGGAAACCAAATATTTATGTCAACAGAGGAAATTCCCAACAGCTAGAACTGCTCCTGCATGGACTCGATATATTAGGGAAAAGTGAATTCCCAGTTATTTTAGCTATATGAATAAACATTGCAGAAATTTGTTCATAATAATGTAGAATGGCAGAGGTTACTTTTAAAGTTCTGTCTAGGTCTCAAGACAACATTTCTTCTCAGGACCAAAGTCAGGAGTCAGTGTAGTCACATTTACTGGAAACGTTTTAAGTGAAAGAGAGCAAATGAAAGTGGGCTTTGGGTTACCAACATTGGGAGCCTTCTTGATGTCCCTGAGATACAAAAAAAAAAGCCCTAGGAAGTCATGTAGATGTTTTCCAAGAGGAAAGTTTTTGAAATTTCTACCCATAGTTGCCTCCTGGCTTCTTCAGCAGCCTTCAACTACCTCCCTCCCTTCTGCCCAAAGCTTAGAAAGAGACTGCAACATTGAAAACATTCACCTGCTCAGTAGGAATAGGCTTTCTGTGATAAGCATTCAGCATCAATCCCCCAGTCTTTTGCCTGGACCAATAATGGCATCCAATGTCCAACTTAATGTCTTACCATAGGTGATCATTGTTAGTTGGCTCAGGAGCAGCAGACCAGGTAAAAGCCCCATTGGATCTACAGCCACTTCTGCCTTTTACTCCAGCCTCTGCTGCCACAGGATCTTGCACTCCCGGTGGTTGCCAGCGTCTGTGCCTGCGCACTTCTTTTCCTTTACTGTTATCTCTCACTTGAACTCCTAGTCACATCGCATATTCCCCTTCCTTCCTTATTTCAGCAAAGTCATGTGGGGAGCTTCCCTTTTCCCCCTGAAAGGGGTTGGAGATAAGAGGGTGAATGAAGCAAATCCTCCTCCTGCTAGGGTACTGACTGTATTTTCCCTGGAGCCAGTGGAGATCTCTGAACTTTGATCTCACAGGCTGTGTTTATTTTGGGCCCTTTTACAAGACTCAGATGCTGGGGGACAGCCTTTGTGATGTCTTCTTTCTCCATTATGGGGGGTATTTTCCTTTCTGATGGGCCTAAGTAGAAGAGATCCAACTTTGTTGGTATATGCAACATTCATTTGCTGTATTGTTCATGCCTCCCTCCTTAGCCTATGTAAATGAACAGAGTATTGGAAGTGGAGTGCCTGTAACCTTCACAGCGTAAGAGCCTAGTGTGTCGAAGCTTTCCTGCACATCAAAAAGCAAATAATTAGCAAGCCCATTGATAAAGCTGCTATTAAGGGAATATGTCTTGTATTATCTCATATTGGAACCTCTCTGGCTTACTTTATCCAATAGCTCCAGCACCCTGATGTTGAAGGAGAATCTATTACTATGAATCCTCTTCATGCCTTTTTCATAGAGTATCATTTTCTCATTTTAACGGAAAGTTAAGAGGGACTCCAGTGTACTAATCCAGGGACTTACTTGATAGCAGTGTGTTTGGTTAGGTTGAAACTTTCTTTGAATTTCCATCTACATAGACTGTATCCTATAATATTAAGCCTACTAGAAAAGCTCAGTTGCTTCAAAAATCATTTCTTCCCAAAGGCACCAGAGTGAATGTAATTTCATCTACTATTTAATTGTATGTTTGGCACAGCTCGAAGTGTGCTAAACTTTGAAAAACAGTTCCAGAAGGACAAGTATACCCAATGCATTCATACCATATTTTGCATGAAGCTTGCCTTATATAAGAAAAAACACATGATATTTTTCCTTTTGGGATTGGCTTATTTCACTGAGTATAATGTTCTCTAGTTAGGATAATTTTGTTGAAAATGGTAGAATTTCATTCTTCTTAATGGCTGAGTAGTATTTCATAAAGTAGTTAGACCACAGTCTCTGTGTCCATTTTTGTTTCAATGGGCATCTGGATTGTTTATATGTCTTCATCATTGTAGATTATGCTGCTCTAAATATAAGACTATTGGCTAAGGTTAGCTAATTAAGCCATTAAGGTTAACCTAATGGCTAAAGTTGACTTTATTTTTAATTGGAGGAACATGAGAAGACTTGTTTGGGGGAGAGAGGACTTTGTACAGGCATAGGAAGTGGGATGCCAAAGAGATATACACTAGCCAAGGAATTATTGCATAGAAATGATTTTGGACTGCGAAATAGTTAAGAGTAGATGCCATCATTTCAGGCCCCATTATCATATGAATTTACTTATTTTTTTCTTTTATTTTTTTTTTACTTTAAAACTTTTCCTAATATAAAGAGAACCAATTTTATACATTCCATAAATACATTTCAAGATGACAATCACACTTCCATTGCTCCATTGCTCCCCCTGCCAATAACTCTATGTATCTTTCCACTCTTCAACAGTGTTTGCAGTCAAAAGTTTAGTCCACTATATATACACAAGTTTGATTTGCCACTAATTATAACACTCAAAAGTAAAATAAGACACAAGACCGTATTTTTTCATAAACATAGTATAAGGAGTGTAGATATAGGCTAAAAATGACAATCATATCACAAAACAATTATTTCATACTTACACTTTTTGTGTGTTCTGTATTAGCTTCTATGTAGCAGAAAAACATACAGTATTTGGTTTTTTTTTTGAGAATGGCTTATTTATCTAAGCATAATGATTTCAAGTTGGATCCATCTTGTTGCAAAATACAGGATTTCATTATTTTTTTATGGCAGAATAGTATTTTATATAACATGTATATTTCTACCAAGCCTCTTTCCTTCCTTCCTGAAGCCAATCTTTCTTGAGTAATTGTACCTTACTTTTTGGTTTCATTTTGTTTAACCAGTGGAAGTCTGATCTATTGTTTCCCCATTGAGTCTTCAGTGAGGGAACCCTGAACTTCAGAAAATCTTTTGATTGTATATTCCAATCAACACCCTGCCACTGCTGCCTCCTACTTCTCCCTTTGAAGAGTTGGAAGCCTCTTCTCCATTGGGTTAGTGTAAATTTCTGCCTGATCTGGTGATTGTATATCCTTATAGCTGCCTGATAGGACCTTCTGGATTTTAAGAAATTTTCTGAGGATCATAGCATTTCTCTGGGGACTATTGGCAGCCTTGCAGTGTGTTCAATGGTCTTGTTGATCTGAAAGAAGAAATAATTTAATGGGAAGGAAGAAAGCCTGGGATAAGCCTGGTTCTGCACATACTTCAATCTGAGATTTTGCACAAGTCAAATCTCTTTGATTCTTATCTTTCAAATTGTAACATAAGCATCATTAGACTTGATGTTTATATCCTTTCAGAAATTTAAAAATCAAGGTATTCCGTATATGCAATTTCAACTACAGAAAAGACAGTTGCTATTTTTCAAATATTTCACTCTTTCAGGCACTATGTGCTAAGCACTTTGTATGAATTATTTATACTCCTATACTTCTTTCAGGATTGTTTTACTAACTTCCAATTTTTCCCTGTCATCCTTTATTCCATTACTCTGCGTTTTTTCTTCAGACATATTGCATATATATTTCCTGAATCACTTGTTTATTGTCTACTTCTCATTCTGGAATGTAAACCGCATGGAGGAAGTAATTTTCATATGTCATGTTCGCCACTCTATCCCCAGTACCCACAACAATGTCCAGCATATAATATTCAACAACTAATTGCTGAATGACACTAAATAATGGCTTTGCAAGTAACAATAAGGCCCAGAGCAGTGAAATCACATTTATGGAAGGTACACAGGCAAGATTCAAATTCAAATCTATATATGTTCAAAAAGATACTGTTAAGAACCAAACTGTTTTGCTCTTTAGTATTTTTAATGATCACTTAAACAGTATTTCCAGACCTACTCTAGATGTTGTGAGACAGAAGAAATTTTAGACATACTCCATGACTAAGACTGTAGTTTAGGTGAAGTAGATATACACACAATGGACACATTAATGGGCATACACATATACACTCCAACACACGGTGAAATATTGAGACTTAACAATTGTTGTATAGGCAGTCATTTGTGAGGATACAGTCCTCTAGGAACGCTTCCCAAAGGAAGGGATACTCTAATTACTGTTTACAGAAATCTTACTCTAGGATGGGCACGTTACTTCTTATCCTTACTTTATATGAAAGACATGCATATCCTTTTCTCATAGAGCAAACTGAGACCTACAGATGTCTTGGAACTGGACCATAGTCATGCAGTCGGGGAGTGTCATAAGCGATATTTCCTATCCAAGTTGGTTTTCTTTCAAAGACTACTTTTCTCCTGCAAGACCCAGAGCTATACTTTAGCTTAGCCAGGAGAGGATGGGGTGATTGAAAAGAAAGACGAGAGATGGACAACTATTTTAATATATGAGGTTGGCCTTTTTCCCCATATCTTTAAATCCAGTGCTTCCTGAAATGATGGTGCCAGTATGTGATCAGAGTTCACAGACTGTGGGTGAGCAGCAGAGAAAATGACCCAAATCTTTTGAGATCCAATAATCAGAGGTCACTGTGGCTCCATGCGTATCTTTATCAACTGAAATCAACCTTCCTAGAAAAAGATGGGAAGTGCAGATTGGAGCATTTTATCAGCATGCAAACAATGGTTAAAATCTTTCTATGTGCATGCACATCTTGCGCTTGGGTGAGCTGCAGAAAAACAGTGAATTTATACAGTAAATTTATACAGGTTCTGCTTAAGGACACACACACACACACACACGAAGTCACGACTACCACACACAAACATGGATATACAGATACAAATGGCCTCATACAAATACATAAGTATACAAACATACACATGTGTATAAAACGACTTTTTATATAGTGTATGGACACACATACATATACAAGTCAAAACAGCACGGACACCTAAAATAGACACACAGACACACACTCATTGACATGCACAAGGACATACACAAATAAGCATGTAAACAGAGCTACACACTCAAGCAGAATATAAGTTAACACATGTATGAAAGCATATTAACACTCATAAATACAGCTAGAGCATACATATTTACAGAGGCACACACATAAATCTAAAGCCACATTTAAAAACTAAGCACATGGATTTAAAAGCAAACTAACATTAAAAGGTTTCATATATTAAATATTAAAAGAGTGTCAGGAACCCATGTATGCAATGACAAAAGTTGTAGCAAACCACAGGGACTTCAACAGTGTAAGAAGGTTTTCCAGAGGAGTTAAAATGTGGGCTGGGTTCTGATATCTGTTTACCATTGGATAGATTAAAGGGGGGTAAATCAATTCCCATTACGTGGCAGAAAAAGAGCCAAAGCTCAAGGCCAGTCAAGAGCAAAAGTAATACTAGTGAAGACAAAATCAGTTGTGTTTCAGCTTGGTTTATATGTACAAAGCGACAGAAAGTAATACTCTGCCTAGATTGTGGAATAGTGTTGAAAACCAGACCAAGATGCCTAGGATTCATGGGCTTACAGGCTTCTAGAAGGAGTACAACAGGATCCCACCACTGCTGAAGCAGCTTTTTTTTTTTTTCATTTTTTAAAAGACATACAGTAAGATATTGTGAAGTAACCAATGAACCAACAATCAATGTGAGTCAGACTGCCTACGATCTACATCAAAGAATTGTAAAACCTAATATAGTTTTAATACCCTATGTTATTCTGTAATGGGGCAGGAGAGCGGAGAAATCTTCCATCACCCTAGAAGGTGTGAGGAAGACGTGAAATATTAGTTACTCCTCACTAGGTTATTGAAGATTTCTCTGCACACCCCTCCTAACGCTGTT